TTTAGGGTTTAGCGGTTTAGGGGTTTTGGGTCTAGTTTAGGGTTGAGGGTTTAGGGTTCAGGGTTCAGGGTTTAGGGTTCAGGGTTTAGGGTTTAGGGTTTATAGGGTTTAGGGTTTGGGGCTTAGGGTTTACGGGAGTTTGGGGATGTTGCGGGTTTGAGATGGGTTTAGGCGGGTCTTGGGCTTCAGGGCCTTATGATTTCTGCTGGCTTTCTGTTGGGGTTTGGGAAGGTTTCGAATCAATTTCTAGGTTCAACAGCCCGATGCCACTTGGGGACGTTTGGGGACATTGGACCAAAAGCTTTGCGGATTGGATTCAAGGTTTAGCGTGTAGGGTGCAGAGCTTTACAGATCTACTCGCCGTCGAGCTCATGCACAGCTTGTTGGGTTTCGCGGAGGTGTGGATGTGTGTGAAGCTTCTGAGTTTCGCTTCATGGGTTTCAAACGGCGCAAAGAATTTAAGTTGTTTCCTGCACGTGTTGGTTTCATTGCAGTCCGTTCACTTCGTGTTCCTGCGGGGTCCAAGCTGAGGGGAAGCTCTTCGTTTCCCTCATGGCCCTGGCCTTCAGTTGCACATCTTTGCTGACGATGCTCTGGCGCACCTGAGGTGAAGATCGGCGGAGACTCGCGCAAAACCCCTCCTCCCCCCCTGTGCCATCCGGCCTTGGCGATGCCTTTGCTCAGCTCAGCCTGGCGCTCGACCTGGGCCTCCAGTTGCTCGGGGCCCCCTTGGGATGCTTCCCCACCTGCAGACTGGGCGACTGAAATTGAGGTTGGGATTTGTTGCGGAGCTTCTGATGCAAGCTGGTGACAGTGGAGCTGCAGCGTTGCGATGTAGCCACGCTTCCGCTCAGCATCGTCCCTGCTCAACCGCCTGGGAGCGGTGCAGCGCAGCGTGGAGGTGGGCTTGGTGCCGGCGCAGCTTGTCAGGCTTGTCAGAGCCATTGAAACCACCAAGCCAGGAAAATCGATTCTACAACTTCTGACCCGTGATGCCAAAGCGCAGCTGCTGCTCCACTTCTTCCAATTCCTTGCGCAAGAGCTGCTCCTGGTTCAGGGGGCTGCTTGGCCATTGATTGTCATTGCACAACCCAGGCAGTATTTCGAGACCACGAGCAGTGCAAAGCAACCATGTCCTAGTGGTAGTTGCATGGACATACACATTCACTTGTGACGAGCAAACAGTGCGGCAACAGCTCAACCCTTCCTCACGCTCGCCAGCAGCCACTTCCTGCTTCAAGACCTGCAGCTTGAGGCGGCTACCCTATGGCTGAGAGAGTTTTTCCGTTCAGACCCCGCGAACATGAACCCGCCATGTATCTCAGCCGCAGTCTGCCCTACATCCATCAGCGACTTCCAAAAACTGCCAATGTGCCCTTCGGCTGACAGCTGGCAGTCAGTATTGTCCGACCTCCAGCTCATCTGAAACCATTTCTCTAGCAAGGGTTTCGGGCATGGAGCCTCTTTTTGTTCGCGGGCTCGGCGCAGCTGAGCGTGGAGCCGCTGTAGCTCCCCGGCCGGGGCCTGGCTGCTGCAACCCTGGGCTAAACTGCAGCGTGCCTCGGCGGTGCTATGCGGAGGCCGAGCTGCCACAGCACGTGGCTTCTGCTCGACGATCGGCTCCGTCGGCTCCGGCCCAGGCGACGCAGACGCATCAGCCGCTTGGCGCAAGGCCTCCATCTCTTCGAGCAACGTGGCCTCCTGGCTTCGGATGGCCGCCAGCTCCGTCAAAAGCACCTGCGATCTGCAAAAACTCGGCTGAGCGCCTGTGCGTGGACTCCCGCCTGCTCCTTCTGCCGTGGCCCCGAACCCGTTCCTCCGTGCCCCTTCCGCTGGGCAGCGGCACAACGGGACTCGGCATCCTGCAACCTGAGACATCGAAGTGAGAAAGGGCCAAAAGGGATTCGAGCTGGCTTTCAGCAGAAGCGATGCTTTTAGGACGTGTTTTCTCATCCAGATCCAAGTGCGCCCTCTCCTGGCTGCCTGGCGGCGATGCGTTGAGCTCGGCCACCTTTCCAGATCTTCGCAGACAAGGCTGGTCCATTGGGAGGGTATCACGACCCCCGAGCCCTCACGTCAGAAGTGATCCGACGGCCTGAAACAACGAAACACCTGCAAACAACTGCATTGCCAATGAGCGAGCAACCAACAGATCAAATGTGACTCAGTGACCCAGCAAAGCAAGATCAGAGCACTAACAAGCAAAGCATCATCACATGAGCTCGAAGGCCAAAGCCTGACAAACCAGCAGCATCAGTCACAATCATCCAGGTGCTTGCCTCCGCTGCCCGTTACTGTGCCAGTTTGTTGCACGCACACACACACACACAGCCTACATCGCTGTTGGTATCAGGAAAAATTGGGAGTTCAATGACACCATCTACGCCACTGTCAAGCTGTGGCATTTGTCTAAACTTAGTAAAAACCATGAAAGTACGGGGACCCGTCCATAAACAGTGTCCAAGCCACAACAATCATTTGGCAAGGCCAGGGAGGTTTGGATTGTGCCAATGGCTAGCCCATGCCCCAAACCCATGCGAGCCCTAAGCGGACACTTGAATGTGCACCAGCATGCTTGAAGTCTGGTCGCCCGATGTGTTCATCGTTTCCTCCCATCCTCCCTGCCTCCCTTCCTTCCTCCCTGCCATTCTTCTCTTGCGCCTTGCTCTTTAGGAAGCGATATTTTTCGGGCTTTGAACTGAATTAAGGCTCGCTTGCTTCGTCCGTACTTGACAGGATACTGTACGAGTAGGTTGTGTTGAAAGACATCCCTGTAGCCTTCTGGCGCTGGGTGTCACGTCGCAGTGCGGCCTCCACCTGGCATGCCAGGCGCACCACGACCACACCAGACATTGCAAGGGCTGTGTGAAGTGCGGCTCAGATCGTAAGCTCGTCTTCTTAGATCCTGGTCCTCTTACCAGGGCCTCCAGCTGAGAAGCCTCGGCTGCTGCGCGTGCACGCCGGCTGCGGTGCTGCTGCTCCTGCAGCTCCTGGCTGACGTGCTGTGACGCGCTGCTGCGAGATGTTGAGCCATCCGATGGGATCTCTCAAGTTGCTTGGGGCAAAGTGCGGTGGACATGTTTGGTAAAAGCGAAAGCTAAGCCTCGTCCATGCTCAAGAACCTGCACAGTATGCCAGCATCCGCAGCTAGCTAGCTCGTCACATCAAGAAGGCCGACGACCGCTCTTGTCAGACCACTGCCTGCAGGACACTTGCTCATCAATGCGTCCTGCACCTGGTTCCGCCAAGCGTGGTGCTCATCGCGGTGCGCAATCTCCTGCCATTTCTCCTGGGCCTCGACACGACCGACGGTTCGGGGGTGTTCAGGGTTCAAAAGGGTTCACGCTCTAGGTTTGTCGCATCTCGCGAGTTCGAAACAAAAGTCTTGGAGACCTTTCGTCAAAGCTGTGGACCTTGCGACGCAGACCAGCCCACTCTCTCAATATTTTCACGGCGCCTGCACGGCTTCCAGCCGCAGCTCTGCGGCAGCCTCGTGCTCCGCAGCCTCGGCGCCAAGCTTCGCTGCGGCGGCCGCCTGCCAGACCGGCAGCGCCGACTCGGGTTCACTGAGGCATCACGTGCCAGCGCGCAGCCTGGGAGGCATAAACCAGCGCCTCTGCCTTGTGCTGCTGCTCCTGGTGAGAATCGCAGAGTCGAGGCTTTGTTGACATGCCAGACTCTCGAAGCCGACGTTCCTCTGCGGCAACCTGCTCGAGCTGCCCGAAGATATCAGAGACCTGTCCCTCCACCTCAGCTGTGCGCACCCCACCAAACAGGTCTCCTGAATCCTCATGGAGCCTGCACCACGCGGTTCTGGGTCGCCTGTACAGCCCTCTCGGGATAGGCCCCCACCTGCACAGGGAAGAATGCAGAACCGAGCTTGGGACGCCCTTAAAATCCGAGGTGCTCGTTGAGTTTCCGTCTCCAGGGTTGCACGGCGGTGGCGCAGCTCGTCGATGCGCTTCAGCGATGGGGAAAAGCGCTTCCTAGGAGACCCTGACCCTGAGGAATCCTGATGATTCTTATTAATTATTAAGGCTGAACAACCGGACTGGTGTGTCGGGGAGGTGGGAAGTCGTGGCGGAGTTGTCAGAAGCTCAAGAAAAAAAGAACAAAACCCGACAGGGCCCGAGTCCGAAACCGAAGCAGCTGGCACTCGCAAGCTCCACCAAGAAGCTGGAGCTCCCAGTGCGCGCCCTCGACACGGAGGGTCTCCCGGCGCAGCCGCTCGGACTCCAGTGCCTTCAATCAAAGCTGCAAGACAGTTTAAGCGGAGCAGCAAAGGGCGAGCCTCTTCTTTCAGCTTCTCCTCGCAATTCTTCAAGCTCTCCTTCGCTCGCATCTCCTGACAAGAGACACATCCGACTCGGCCTGTCATGGCATGTATGTCTGCGGACTGCAAGGAAGGGACCTCGTCGACGTGGGATGCCCAGTCCGTTGCAGCGAGCTCCTCGGCCCGAGCCTGGCGAGGGCGAGGCAGCGAAACGCTCGGCACCCCGGGACGTCGCTGCCGGGCCGTGCCTCGTCTCGATTCCGCTGCCGCCGCCGTGCGGAGACCAAGGCGGCCTCCGCGCCCGCGCTGGCCTCGCTCCCACTCGGCATCCCTCCCAAGACCGATATCTCCCCCGTGAGAACCCAGGCCTCCTCTGCAAGACGGACCTGGCTGCGCTCCGCCTCCGCCCTCGAAACCTTTCAAGACCCGGCTTCGGGCGTCCAATCCATCAGAGCATCTACGTCCCGGTCTTCTTGCCGTCCGCAGCTACAGGCGAGAGATTCCGGTGCTCGTGTCTTAGAGCGAAGAAGCAGAGCGAAGCGCCTCTTCGGAGGCCTTGGCGGCAGCCGAAGCGGCCAGGGCCCTCTGCTCCTCGAGGCTCCGAGGCTCCGCTCTCACAGCGAGGCCCCTCAGAGGCCTGCTACATGATACGGACAATACGAGATCACTCATGACAACCACAACAACTGCCGACGCGCTGCCCTGTCCTCGAAGTGGCGTCGTCTGCGATCGGCCTCCACGGCTGCCTCCTGGATCTGAAGGCGCTCCTGGCCTTGGCCCAAAAAGGATCCCGAAGGCAGCGAAAGCTACGCGTAACGCTGCGCGCGTGCGTCCTTCGCCGTCTCTGGTGCTGCCATGCTGCGACACAGCTCCTTGAGCCGTGCTGCTTCCGGTGTGGCCTCTCCAGCTCCGGTCTGGCATTACCAACTCCAGACGCTGTTCCGGCGAACCGAAAGGTTGGGTTGAACTTCAGGCTCGGATCGAGAGAGGCTGCAACCGTGCTTTTGCAGTCTGCACGACAATGTAGGACATGCTGAAACCCACGCTGAGCTTCTCGAAACTGTTGGACATACCCTGCCACCGTCCTGACGCCTGAAAAGGACTGTCTCCGCCTCCACGTCGGCAAGAAGCGGTAGGGACACTGTGCTCTCAGCAGCGGACTCCACTTTCAACACGGCCTGACACTGAAAGTCGCTCTAGAGGGTGCATTTCTGCACAGGTACGATGCAAGCAAACTCAGGAAACACGGCTGCAACAGAAGCATGAACCACATCACTCTCATGGCAATGCTGGATGTCACGCATTTATTGAGGCTGCTGGCCTCCGCTGCTCGAATCGCCTTCTCCTGTTTTGCAGAGGAGTTGAGTTTTCAGCTAGCTTGAGCAACATCAGGCCATGTCAGGCTGATCAGAGGGCTGTGAAACTTGAGAAGTTGGTAGATGAGCTGGCTCGCATTGATCCTGAACCCCCTCCTGCCTCGCTCAGGACCTCCGCCTGCAGCTCCTCCTCACAAAGGGCCTTTTCGGCCACGTCCTGTTGAAGCGATGCTCTGAAAAGCTCAGAACGGACAAACCTCCACTCCGACGACAGATGCGCGGTAGAGTTCAAGACCCCGAAAATGATCTGATCCCAAACCCGCCCGACCCTAACAAGCTCTCCCATTGGACCTGGCGCAGGCCGAGCACCGCTTCCGCTGCCGTCCTCAGGCAAAAACTTCACTTGATGAGGGACTTTCAGGACTGCACACCCCAAAAAAAATCCAGGACTCTGGCTTGTACTGCAGCTGGAGCTCATGCTGCAGCTCCAACCTCGCTACAAAATTCGCTTCGCGCCGAGTCATCAGACTGTCCGACCCACAGCGCGTGCCGGATCGAGCTCCCACCTCTATCGAACCCGATCATTGCGACGAAGCAACAGAGCTTCCATCCGCTTCGAAGTCTCGTCCCTGCCGGCGCACATGAGCATCGTTCAAGCTCAAACAACATTCGGTTACCCCCTGTCAGTGGGCTTAGCCACTTGGCAAGTCCGGAACAATGCTGCTGCGCCGTTTCCGCCTCTGGCTCTGGCCATCCACCGACGACTGCACGGCGATTTCCGAGAGTGATTGCCTGTACCGAGGACCGCCATGGCCACGGCTTTTATCTCTCATCTCTCCCCGCGCTCAGCCGGCGCCGTGTGCAGGTGAGATCTCAGATCTCATGCCCGCCTTTGGGAGAGGACATCTTGCTGGAGCTTCTGGCAGAAGCCACCCAGCTCCTGAACAAGGGCCGGTGCAAAACAAAGCACCCGACGAAGGGCCCTGTATCCTGGCACTATCCCAGCCTTCACCTCCCTGAGGATGGTTGCCATCGCATCATCGGAGCCTCCCAGATGACCGGACGTTAAGGCCCCTCGGACTTTTGGGGGAGCTTAGGGGAAAAACACAACCGTGACAGATCGTGCAAAGATTTAGGAAGAAGCCAAAGCCGAAAACCGACAAGCAACGATAACAGCATGCGCGTGCTTAGAAGAAGGTCTGGAAGGAATCCCAGTTCTGCCTTGCCTGCTGTGGCTTGCTCCCGGGCAGGCAGCATGCCAGAACACATCTCCATTACCTGATGGCAGCATCTGCGTTGGGAAGTTTGAGATCCCTGGCCGACCCCTCCCTGACGCCTGGTGCATGACGTCCAGCATGCTGGTCAGGAGCTTGGGATCCTGCATCTCCGGAGCAAGCTCCTGCTTCTGCCTTGGTGATTTGTGGCCAGTAAGACAATCCGAGAAGGGACAATACGCTTCTGCCTTGGATTCGTTTGCTAATTAACTCTTCTGATTATCATAGCTATCATGTTCACAGGATCACCACGTTCATCGACACGAAAATATTCGTGCTTGCGACGTTGACCGCCACTACAAGATCATCAGCACCGATACCACCACCAACACACCTTAATGGTATTATCTATTCTTGTATTCTATCATTGTATCTTACTCACATCACCGATTTCTCAACCACCACGGCCAGGCCAGGGTGCTGCTGCACCGATCTGCGAGCCGTGCCTTCACCGGCCCTGGCCAGCTCGGCTGCGGCTTCGGCCTCGGAGCGCCGCGCCTGCGCGAGCTCGGCCTGGAAGGTCTGCACCTCGGAAGGGAGTAGGGTTTAGGGTTTAGG